CACCATCTTATTGATCTTTAGATACATGATGCTTTAATTCAGTGTTTCTCAACCTGGGGGTCGGGACCCCGGGGGGGGGGGGTCATGAGAGGGTGTCAGAGGGGTCGCCAAAGGCCATCAGAAAACACAGTATTTTCTGTTGATCATGGGGGTTCTGTGTTGGAAGTTTGGCCCAATTTGGTCATTGTAGGTGAACTATAAATCCCAGCCACTACAACTCCAAAATGCCAAGGTCTATTTTCCCCAAACTCTACCAGTGTTCATATTGGGCATATTGAATATCCGTGTCAAGTTTGGTCCAGATCCATCATTATTTGAGTACACAGTGTCTCTGGATGTAGGTGAATTACAACTCCAAAATTCAAGGTCAATGCCCACCCACCAGACCCTTCCAGTATTTTTTGTTGATCATGGGAGTTCTGTGTGCCAAGTCTGGTTCAACTCCATCCTTGGTGGAGTTCAGAATCCTCTTTGCTTGTAGGTGAACTTTAAATCCCAGGAATTACAACTCCCAAATGACAAAATGCACCCCCCCCCGAACCCACCAGTATTCAAATTTGGATGTAGCGGGTATTTGTGCCAAATTTGGTCCAGTGAATGAAGATACATCCTGCATATCAGATATTTACATTACGATTCATAACAGTAGCAAAATTACAGTTATGAAGTAGCAACAAAAAAAAATACATCCTGCATATCAGATGTAGCAAAATCACAGTTATGAAGTAGCAACGAAAGTAATATTATGGTTGGGGGTCACCACCACATGAGGAACTGTATTAAGGGGTCACGGCATTAGGAAGATTGAGAAACACTGCTTTTATTTAACATATACTCCTGATGTGTTTTCAGGGCACAGCTTGTAAACATCCATTTGAAAGGACTCATTGTATTCCATTGCTCTGCTCATTTCCTAACATCAGATATAGGTGCCTATACCTCCATATATAAAAGTGCACAGGCCACACACAAAAGGAGGTACCAATAGCTTGGGGGTGGGGATCAAGAAATGCAGAAGTAGAAGGAAGAAAAGTATCTGTATTTCAAAGAAAATCTCCTAAGGGATTCCTTTCCACCCAAACTGAAGAAATAGCCCAATGAAGATAGACTATGTTTACTAGCCACTGAATACAGGGAAGGTCCAGGAAATAAAAATTAGGATAATATGAATGGAATGGAGCGCTCTGCAAAAAGTTTGACTGCTCATGGAACTGGAACTCTCCATACTACATTTGTTGCAAAATTAAAACAACCACAGTAATTATTTAGGTACTTCCCAATGTTCAGTGTTTTATATGCCTTATCTAGTTGCAAATTATGCAACAATTACATGTTATATTTCTTTGCTTTAAAGTTGTTCTAAGATCAATCTATCATGTGACTATCTTGGGAGGATGTATTCAGAGGGGGTTTGCTGTTGCCATCCTCTGAGTTTGAGAAAGTGGGACTTGCCCAATGTTAGGAAGTGGGTTTCCACTGAGCAGGAATTTGGACCTTGACCTCCACCACATTAACTGTCACAACAATTGAGGAAGTCAGTGTTATTTTCCAATATGACAACATCACCAAACAGTACATGACCAAAACTAATGTTGCCAAGGCTCCATTAAGAAAAGCTTACAGTAGTGAGGCCCTGTTAATTTCCATGTCAGGCCCCTTCTACTCTTCCATATAAT